ATGTGTATATATTCAAAGAGAGGCTAAAATCACCACTGGGTCTGTAAAATACATGGTAAATTACGTTAAAATTCTTATTAGTTAAAGACAAAGTGCTGCATGGATCATGTGAGTGTAAGTTAAGGAGATAGGAAATAGTAAATGGACTGCATTTATATAATGCTCTTATCAAGATACTCAAAGCATTTTACACTACGATCTGTGCCCTCATTTACCTGTTCATACAGCACTCTACTATATCTCTACAGAGAAAAATCAGTGTTTTATCAGATGCATACACCGATGGGACACACATTGGAGGCAATTCAGTGTCTTGCGGACACTTCGGCATGTGACTACTGGTGGAATTGAACCACCAACTCTTGCATTGGAGGACGACTGCTCTAACCACTCAGCCACAGCCACCCGAGATGAGATGGTGTGTGTGTATATGTGTGCATGTGTGTGTTGGGGGTGGGTGCAATGGTCCGTGTCAGACAGCAAAGAGCATTTATCTAGGAATCCAAGCCAAAGTAACCTCACTAAAACAGAACGAGCAGGACCAAGGACGAGGAGTGACATGAGCTGAGAAATAAAGAAGAGAGTGCAAAAGAAACTGGATGGAAAAGGTGACCAAAACAAAGACCCTAAAAAAAGGACAAATTGCAAAGCATTTTTGTTTTACCTGAAGAGGAACTTCAAGAAAAGCTTTCTTTTTTTTTTTTTTTTTTTTTTGCAGGGAATTATTACCAAAGCAATTACAGCTTCATCCAGTGAGGTGTTTTATTAGTTAGGGAGATTTTTGAAAGAAAACCATTTTCCATGACTCCTTCCCACTTTCCCAGCATGCTTCCTTTGCTGTCTATGTATGTGGGAGCACTGCTGTCCTCAGATGCGTCTCCAGCCTGTTCACATCCACTTTGCAAGGACAGATTAGTGGCTGCACCTGTCTCACCAGCAACCAGAGCAACAGCAGCAGAAGTAAGTACAGCACCCTGTGAGGGTCAAATTGGGACAAGTGCATGCAGTAGGGGAAGCTCACTCCCAGCCTTCTCGGACGCTCCTCTGAGCGTGGCGCTGCAGAAATAAATTCTCTCGGGTTCAGTACAAAGTAAGAGTGCATCCTGAACTCAAAAACTGAGATCATCAGATTTACTCTTCCCATGTTATCCATCTTCCATTGACTATTGTAAAGAAAAATGACTCTACTCAGCTTTATAAGTGTAAGATTGCACAATGACAGTAATAGGCAACGCAAAGCAGACTGTATTTTGTTCACATGTGCCAGTGAGAGTGGGCAGCAGGATATCAAGGCACAGATGCTAAACTTGGCATCACTCTGAACACACGTAAAGCTATTAGTGTCAGCAATCAAAGCAGGGATAAAATTAGGCCTGCTTTTTTAAAAATGTTCTTGTCATATGGTTGTGCTGAGCTCATGAAGCAACAGGTGTGAGGGACAGGATCACAATGGGTGATGTAAGTGTTAGAGACAGAAGACGGGGCAATGAGTTTTAGGATTAGCCTTTGAGGTGTCAACTCTCAAACTGAGGGATTATTTTCACCGCAGACTAATTTTAACCAATTTTATTGTTTAAAATACAGAACATTTGGCAAGCAATCTTTAGACAAATGGGTTTTAGTCTTTTAAATTAAATGTACTAGTGTGCTGAATCTAATATTGTTGTTCATCTAAACTTTTTTTTTTGCAGTTATGAAACAACTTTGTCATCAGGAAATGGTGCTTTAACATGAAATATCTTATTCCAGGGCTATTCATGTGGTGGCCCGGGGTCCAAATCAGGCCCACAAGTGAGTTCAGTTCGGCCCACCAATTCATTTTTAAATAAAACTAGATTTTAAACATAAAACAAACTTAGTGATAATAACTGCTGGATTTCAGTGACTGTGGCTCTCTGAGCGATTGAACTGAATAGCCCTATCTTTTTCTATTTTAGTGGCTGTGGCCATGCAAGTCATGATAAACACGTGTGCAAACATGATACTCTGTAAAGTAAAATGCACAGACTGTGTTTTCAATTAGGAGCCACCCTGTTTCCCAAATGGGTGAGAATTTTTGAAAATGGGAGGATTAATTTTGGTTAAATCAACTCCAAGTTGTACAACTATTACTCTCTGTGTGTTGTTTTAAGCCTATTAGATATGAGTTTATCAAATTTTTAACCAGAATCTCTGTTCTCACTCTCAAGACAGCTTCTTGCAAAAACTCTCTTCTTGTTAAACTTCACAGTAAAACATGCCATGTATTGTGATTTTTCACATTCTGACTCATTTATGTTTCCGTAAGAATCCATTCTCACATCATAAATTGGATTTAAAACAATCCAAACCTGTCATTGACAAAAGTGCCCGAGTACTTTTACTTTGGCTTCACTTTGGGTTTTTATCTAAAATGCATTTCCACCGTTAAATACACGGTCTGTGATGTAACTAACTTTTAATAACTTGTTGGCACTGTGTTACAGAGCGGAGGTGTTAAAGAGCGCTTGGTTCAGCTGCAGCGCTGCGTGCGTTCTCTCCAGGAATCAGAGGCTGCCTGGAGCCATGGGGGCCAGCAGAGCAGCTCTCTAGGGGCCATCCTGGCATTAATGGCAGCTGTGCTGACGGAGTGTGACCTCCACTGCCACGACCAAAAGCTTGGAACGATGGCCAAGCACTTAGGTGAGTATGACACATTCATACCCACCACCTCTGGAACATGCAGAATGCACAAAAAGGACACAGAAATAAACAGAAGTCTGCAAAGTGTTGGCTGTAGGGGAGAGGATAGGAATTTTGCAGCGTTAGCTAAATCTGTGAGTACACCTCTCGCACATGGTTTGACATTTGAACAAGTTTAAGTGTCTATCTTTTAGGCTTTCTGTGAACATGTTAAAAAATATCCCTGTGTCTTATTATTAATAATATAAACTGTCTCTGGGTTGACAGAGAGTGTTGCAGTGGGAAGAGAAGGTGAAAGAGAGCTGCTGCTTTTCCTCAAGAGCATCACCCAATATCCACCCACAGGTGAGAACAGTGAGTATAATCATACAGACTGTGACGAATCATGGATTAGAATGAAAATATTCCATGTGTGGCTTTCAGTTTCCCCCACGGAGAGGTTCCATCCTCAGGACTGTGCAGAGATTTACAGGCTTGGGATCAAAGAGAACGGGATTTATACAATCCAACCTGATCTCTATGGGCCGGCACTAGAGGTATTTCACATTTAGCTCACCCACAAAACACTCAGCCTCACTCCAAGTTTACTCTTCATCCTCTGATGAGCTGAGAGCTATCTGGGGAAAATCGAGGCTTAATCAGATCAGAGTTTTTGTTTTGGCTCAGGCTAAATGTGACATGGAGACAGCCGGTGGTGGCTGGACGGTAATCCAGAATCGGCAGGATGGCTCAGTGGACTTCAACAAGACGTGGCAGGAATATCGGGAAGGCTTCGGGAACCTGCAAGGAGAGCACTGGCTTGGGAATGCGGCACTTCACGCCCTCACCTCCACTGGACAACACCAGCTCCGCATTGAGCTGGAGGACTGGTACCAACAGAAACGCCAGGCTACTTACGACAACTTCAAAGTGGCCTCGGAGGCACAAAGGTGACAAATGAACACATTTGATGATCTTGATTAACTACAAATATTTAAACCATAGTTATGATCTTTTAAAATAAGGTTATGTGAAAATGTTATGAATATTTAATATCTAACTTATTGTAGATAGCTGTTGAAAAGCCTTAGTTTGGAGGAATAGAGACTTACAAACTAACAGCGAATCCAGGCAGCCAAGAGCAAAGTGATTTGCTGTTATCTTAAATTTCACAAATCTTATGTGATATTGCCATAATATAAACTTTTATATTGCTGTCAAATTTGCTTTAAGGTTATTTACATCAATTTTTGTGGTTATTTACAAGCACAAATATCAGCAATAGCAGCTAGTTGTAGCACTTCCAGTGCAGCCTGGGTGCACTTCCAGCACTGGTATCATAATATCTCTGCCAGAATTATTGTATAAGATTGTATAATGCAAAACTGACTGTTCAGATGACCTGACTGAGAATTATTGGATTTGATACCTGGATGATTGAGCATGAACTTTGTTGACCACAGATTAAAATTCTACGAGTTGATGTTTGTATAAACTGCCATACATATTTTAGATTGTAGTTGTTTTAAGACAACAGTAATTCCCTTTGCTCTTGGAAATGTTAAGACTATTTCTCAGCTTTTCAGTCCAGTCAAAATTTAACTTCTGCTTCCTAAAACTGAGGCAGTTCACAAAGCTATCTACAACAGGTAAGATATTAAGTTTTCAAAACCTTTCCCTACTTCAAAGGTCTGAGCTATATATTTAATGGAAATGAATTGTGCAAAGTTCCCGCTTTGCATTTTTAGACACAAACGTGTGTTTTCCCCACTGACCCTAAGAGACAACACTGATCCTATATCAGCACGGGAAAACAAAGATTTGAACATGCTCATGGAAAACGTGTACATAAAAAGTGAAGCATGAATGAAGCTGAATGAGAACAGATGATGCTAAATCATTTTCCACCACCTAAATGCACCATGTCGTCTCTTGCAGGTATCGCCTGACAGCGCGAGAGTATTCTGGTGATGCTGGCAATGCTTTGAGCTACAGTAAGCGATACAACCACGATGGCAGACCTTTTAGCACGGCAGACAGAGACAATGACCGGTACGTCACTGGAAACTGTGGTCAGTACTACGGTGCTGGCTGGTGGTTTGATGCATGCCTCGCATCTAACCTGAATGGACGGTATTACCGTGGGCGTTACACCGGCGTGACCAACGGGATCTACTGGGGCACATGGTACATTCTGACAGATGGACGAACTGGAGAGCGCTACTCCTTCAAGAGGGTGGAGATGAAGACAAGACCACGCAGTTTAGTGGGAACAAACTGAGGCTAACAGCAACAATTCCCAGTTGAAAAATAAACTGCTGCACAGGTTTGAGTGTAATATATCGGATGTATAAGGATACTTTTTACTTTATAGTTTTTTTAGTCACTGCCTAACTCTGAACATTTTGAGTCACATATCATGGAGATTCAGCTAAATCGTTAATACAATTAAATTCAATTAAATGCAATTCAAAAATACTTTATTAATCCCAAAGGGAAATTAAATGTTGTAACTCGTTATCTTGGTTTCATTAAGAGATGTTAAAGATGCTGATGGCTGTAGGCAGGAAGGATCTCTTTTAAATGTCCATCCCACAGTGGATCCAAAGAAACTGGCCACAGATGTTGTCCGATCCGTCCACCCAGACTCAGCTGGCCTCTCGGTTTCTCCGGGCTGCAGGACCACCCGAACGCCAAGCAGAACTCCTCCCAGCAGCCTGCTGAGCTCCTCGTCGCTGCGGACAGCCGGCTGCAGGTGCCAGGGGATGATCCTGGTCCTTCCACTGTCACGAGCCGCATTTCCTGCCATTTCCAGGATCTCAGTGGTCAGGCACTCGAGCACAGCGGGCAGGGAGATGGGAATGCATCTATGGCGCCTCCTTTTCAACTCATTTGAGATTTGGGACTGTAGCTGAGATATTATTTAAGCTTTTGAGATGTTACTCAGCTGCTCCTGGTTGTAAAAAAAAACAACAACACCTTGTTGTTATGGTTACGCCTCATAACAAATGTCCAAAACTAAAAAAGTTTCTGTAAAACTTCTTCCAGCTGCACAGCATCCGATATCAGAGGAAACAATCATCCAAAAAAAAAAAAAAAAGATTTACATCCAGAAAAAGAGGAATTAAAGTTTCCAAAAGCAAAATCTCAGAATGAATGTATCAGAGTTGCTCCAACATGCAGCCACCCCGAGCAGAGCAATTCTAGAACTAATAAAGAAAGGTTAAAGGTCACAATTAAAGAAAACATACAGAACCATATAAATTCATCCAGAAAGTTCTTGTTCGTTTAAATAGGCAGTGAAAATATTATGTGCAAAAATTGTAATAAAATTCCTCAATCCTCTTTGTGCATTAAAACTCACTTTCTGCACTTCTTTAATTGTTCAGAAGAATGTCCAGTCAGTCATTTGCCAGTAACTCAGTAGTTCTTTTCAGAGATCAAGCAAATACTTTCAAAGAGGCCAGTGACTCAGAAATGTGACTGCAGCTTCAGTCGACAGCACAGATTGTTTCACTCATGAGACATAGTCGATGTAAAAGATACATATTTCTGCAGAACCACAGATGGGTATGTTTCTGACTCCATCTGCAACTGACCCAAAGCTCACAGTTTGACTCTAAATGAAGTGTCGGCCAGTTTTCTCCACACCAGACCAACACTTTCCCACGTCCAGTTCCTGGCACGCTGACTCAGACCGTTATGAGCTTTTCTCTGTCGTCCCACTTCAAAACCGTCCTTCAGTCCACAAACACTCAACCTCACCTGCTCGATAAACTTGGCTTCAGGCCGGCGGCTTCCTTCGCGGCTGGCCTTCACAAAGTATTTTCTTGGGGTTTAGAGTTGGGTGCGAGATTTGTGTTTACATGTGTCTGTGTTTGAATGCTGCATTTATTTCACAATGAGTGTATCTTATATTAATATGTGAATGAACTCTTATCCACACACACAAAAGCATTACACACCTATTCACACACAAAAACACACCCAAACACATACAAACTTCCAGTAGAGGAGGTGCAGGATATGCTTGGTTTTGTAAAAATGAAAAATAAATAAATGGCTTCCATTGTTCATCTCATAGTGACTTACAGTAATTATTGCTGTATAGCCAAGGTCCTTCCCCTCTGTTCATACGCATATTATGCCTCCACAAACACACAAATACTCTTTCACACAGCAGTTAACCATGAGCAATTAAGCTCAGTCACCCATGGGAGCCATTATATGTATCAACTTTCTCATTTGAGTCTGTCTGTATGTCTTTGTTTGAGTGCAGTGTTGTGTCACAGGAAGAGAAACAAGTTTGAAACATCCCTGGACGTCACCTTGTGCCCCCTGCTGGCTCCTGGTGCTGCTAGGTTTAGGTTTGTCATCTGCAGATCAGCACAAGGTCAACAATGTCATGGAATGCTCAGGACGAGAAGAACCTCTCGATGAGTGATGAGCTGATGAGTTTAATAAAAGTTTTGTGCAGACTGAGAGTATAATTTATTAAGTCAGCACATATCAAACTAGAATAATAAAAAAGTTTAGTCTTTAAGAGATAATATTATCGTGTGATGGAAAAATTTGAATCTTTTAAATTCAGCCATATCACTAAAAAAGTTTATCATCAGTCACTAGACTCTGTCATTAATATTTTTCTGTTCTTTTTTTAGTCGTGCTCATTTCAACAATAATGTCCAAACTTTTGATTCATTGCACTCTGAGCTCCCGCTTCTTTAAATTTCAGTCATTCTGCTCCTCCGCTTCGAATCCATCAGTCTTAGTGACAAGGGGGAGAGAGGCCCATACTTGTCACCTCAGTATCCTGGTACAGTGTGGGTGATAGTATGGGTGCTGCAGGTTGTTAAGTGACACCTCACCACCCAAAACCCCACCCTCCTCAATGCTTGATCTAGTACCTGTACTATAACTGAACGCATCTTAATTTAGGACTGTCACGTTTAAAAAAAACAACTTTTCAGACACAAAATAAATATTGTTTTGTGGTCACTTTGTCTATCCATTTAGGTTACCTAGCCATTATTCTAATAAAAAGTGTAAAAAATGATCTAATTTACTATTACCTGGTGATCTAGGGTCAATAAAGACAGTCTGACATACTCAATTTCACTTTAAACACTGTTCTTCAGACTTAGAGTTTTGGACAGAACGTGCATGAACTCAAACAAGTTAAAAAAAATACACAAAAAACACAAAAAGAAGCACTTCTGATGAAAACAAGCTTTTCAGACGTCCTAAACAACAACTACACACAAAAAAAATCACATTTTCCTATTTTATAAATTGAAGTGACTGACATTAGCCAGCAGGTGGCAGTGTTTCTCAGAAGAAATCAGTAAACGTGGCTTTGAATACTAAAGTACAACTTTATGATGAGCAAAAATATTCTCAAGTCTAAAAAAGTAAATGAAAGAAACATGAATTTAAAGTGTTTTTTTAATTGCAGCAACATGTTAAACTTTAGTCTGTTTAAATAAAGGCTGATGAGCAACGAGATGACCAATATCAGTGTTTCATTATTAAATGTGTCAAGTTTATTTCAATGGACGATAAGCATAGCTGCTTACATCCATATAGGAACAGGTAAAGTAAGTATAAGAGAACAATAATCTGTTGAAATATTGAATCTCAACACTGGAAATCAGAGCTGCAGCGCCTCTTGTCAACACTGGGGGAACTAAACTGGACGTTAGTGGTCAAAGGACAAACCAGTGTTCAGAGTGAAAACAGTTTGAGAAATGTTAAGACATCATGCAAAGCATCACAATGCAGACTGAGATCATGTTGAGCAAGTAAACGTTCGGTTGAACAGAAATGCACCTATGGCTGTAAACTGTTCAGAAACGTGAACGCACGGAAGAGGCGGAAGGACGTGATGAACTTGTTGGCCTTTAGTGGAAGGAACATTTTATTCATTAATCTGCTCTCGCTCTGATAAGGGTGTGTGCATGACAGCTGTCAAGAACAGGGTCAGGAGGAAAGACCATGGGGTGGGGGAGGAAGCAGGAGCCGGTGAGGTTTGAAAGGTGTCTTAAGTTTAGCAGGCCGTTAGGGCCTCCCCTTCCCTGACCACAGGACCACCGAGAGACAGCACACGCCTGCTTCTTATACTGATCCTGCAGAAAACCAGAGCAGGCCAGCGTTCCGTTTGAAACCGGAATTCAGCAGAACAAGTGTATCCTGATGTGGTGAGGAGCTGATGGGGGTGAGGAGGGGAGATGACGGGTGAAGACACCAACGGGGCCATGTGGCAGGCCTCGCTCCATCTCTCACATACATCTGCACGCTAAAATGGAGGCTGTGCAGAAAAAGGAGGGAGGAGAGGAGCTGGGGGCCTGTGCTGCAAGCATTACAGTAAATTATCTTTTAATTAACAAAAATATCCATTTGTTCTGTTTACAGGGAACCTTTGAACTAAAATCATTGCAGCGGTTCCTCAGGTGTCCTGGTGTTGCACAAATATTAGAAACTTTTATTTTATAAATTATCCAATGCAATCAAACTTTTCTTTTAATACTTTTTCATTAATTAAGTGACCAAGATGATAATTAAATAAAAATTATGCTAATTTTGTGTTCTTGATTATGTCATTTGCATAATCTATAGTCACTATAGTGTCCCTGAAAGCACAATGATACAAGATATACAGTACCTAAAACACAAAACCACACCTTGATGTTACAACAGCTGTAATCAGTTCTTTTGTAGTTGTAATTTTTTGTGAATTTGTCATTCTAGAATTGTGTCATTCAGTCTGAGATTTTGCATTTGGAAACTTTAATTCCTCTTTTTCTGGATGTAAATCACCTTTTTTTTTTTTTAGATGATTTTTTACTGAAACTTCTTTATTTTTGAACATTTGTTATGGTGCATAACCATAACAATAAAGTTTTTTTTTTTTTTTTTTACTACCGGGAGCAGCTGATTAACATCTCAAAAGCTCAAATAATACCTCAACTACAGCCCCAAATGTCAAATAAGTTGAAAAAGGAGGCGCCGTGGATGCATTCCCGTCTCCCTGCTGGCTGTGCTCGAGTGCCTGACCACTGAGATCCTGGAACTGGCAGGAAACACGGCTCATGGCATCAGAAGGACCGGGATCATCCCCTAACACCTGCAGCTGTCCGTCCGCAGAGATGAGGTGCTCGGCAGGCTGCTGGGAGGAGTGGCCATCGCTCTGGGAGGAGTTCTTCCTGGGATTCGGGTGGTCCTGCAGCTCAGGGGAACCGAGAGGCCAGCCGAGTCTGGGTGGATGGATCAGACGGGATCTGC